TTAAGGCAAGAAAGAAAAAGTAGCGACTGACAAGGATGCTTCGGGCTGCAGGATTATTGGTGTTAGTGTCACTGAGCTAGGTCGAGCAATCAGTCACGGAAGGCGTATCGGCGAGCCCGTGAAAAGGTGCTCAGACGACGTGCTGGGGAAGTGCAAATTAAAACCTAAAATTAGACCGAGACCGGCCATGCCAAGTGTTGGGGAGACTGTGGACCTGGAAGTCTCATGCATTTCTGATGCGAATGCAAAATGCTACAACCCCCTGAAAGGCAGTAGGGCAGTTTCCTGTAAAGGTAAATACACTTCCCAAGTGACACAACTCCATGTCTACTATTTCCCCTCTCCATGTGCTCAGAAAGAGCTGTACATGCATGTTCATCTCAGCTAAATTCATAACAGCCTCAAACAGTAAAGGACCCGAAACAGGTGAATTGATAAACAATTTATGGTAAGTTGTGCAACGTTACAGAGCAACAAAATGGGACGAAGGCTTGATATATCCAATAACACAGATCAATCTCAAAACTGTTCTCAGCGAGAGAATACCATTTATATGGTATTCTACATAAAATTAAACCACAGTGACAGAAAGCAGATCTGTGGTTGCCTGACACTGGGGTGCAGGTGGGAGACTGAATGGGAAGGGACACAAGGGAACTTTCTGGAATGATGCACATATTTTATATCTTGATTGCAGTAGGGGTTACGCTGCTGCATAAATCTGTCTAAACTCACCAAACTGTACACTTAGAACGATTGTATGTTGTTAAATGTAATTTATACGTCAATAAAGCTGATGCAAAAAGGAGGAGACACACCTTCTAATAAACAGGCTTCAAGGCCAAGTAAACCAGTGAGAGAGCACTCACTTCTGGGAGAATCCCTTGCGGGTGATGGAACCGTGAGCAGCTCATCCCCAGACCTGCAGAACCGCTGTGCCAGGGCTGAGGCCGAGTCACAGGCTGGCAGCCGTGGTGGTTGGACGATCCTTTTGATCACTGGCTTCTCTCTTGAACAAGAAACTGAAGTTGGGGTCTAGCTAACTGTGTTCAGAAGGGCATTCCTGGGGAGACAGACTCGTGGATACGGGACGGACTGACAGCTGTCAGAGGGGAGGGGTGGGTGGCTGGGTGAGAAGGGTGAAGGGATTAAGCAAAGGAAAAACGACTCATGGGCCAGACAACAGTGTGGTGGTGGCCAGAGGAAAGGGAGGGCGGGGGAGGTGGAACAGGGGAAAGGGATAAATGGTGATGGAAGGGGACCTAACTTGGGGTGGTGAACACACAGTACAATGTACAGATGATGTGTTGTAGAATTGTACTCCTACAACCTATATAATTTTATTAAGCAATGCCACCCCAGTAAACTTAATAATAATTGAAAGGAAAAAAGAGAAGAGCGCGCCTCGCAGGCCCAGTGCATCGTGGGAGGAGGGCTCCTGCCCTGAGAGCACGTCCAGCCCGAGACCCAACGTGGGAGGTCGGGAGGGCGCGCAGCTCTGACTCCCACAGCCCCAGCAAGCTGGCCTCTTTGTAAAGAAACCGGCCGCTGGTAATACATAGCTGGGTTTGGGAAAATCCACATGAGCTTTTCCCTCACCCCCAAATTTCTGTGGCCAACTCAGTGAGCCAAATGGAACAGTCCTGATTGGGGGCATCTGAAACTGTGAGAGAGATGATAATCTCAACTAAGTATGTTATGAAACCTAAATTACAGTTATGGAACAGTGAAAATTCACATAATTACACCAAAATGACAAGGGAAACAAAGTATGACTCTGAGCAGCATCTTGAGGGGAAGTTCCCACAACCAGATGGGAGTAAATTGCTCCCTGAGTGGAACAGGGCACCTATCCAGGGAGCCCCATGAATTTATCTCATGTAGACACTAAGCCCCCGATCCAAAGCCCATCTTAAATTACTGTTTTCTCTCCAATGAACCATTTCCCCCACCGCGGGAGATACTGGTGTGCTCTTGGCTAAGTTCACAATTACACAAATTCCAACAAGTCCTCTTTGTTTTTAGAAGTCTATCTTTTTTTGCAGCCCTAAGCATTTTTCTAGGTACATGGCAACAAAGGAAACAGAGTAGTCCCTAAGGACATGAAATCTTAAATGGTGTAAGAATGATTGCGCGGCTCTGTCACTTCTTTGCTCCCTGTACAGGCCCCGGTGGGGAGTCAGGACAGCTGGGCCTAGTTCCTGTTCTCTCATGAACTTGGTATGTGACCTCCAGCAGATCTAACCTCTGGTCCAGCTTCCTCCACGGGCAAATGATAATGACATCACTTTCTTAACCTACCTCAGCATGTAAAAAGCTTTCATTGAAATATTAGATATAACACTTGAAAGCTTAATATAAATATAAAGCAGGGTTCATTTTCATTTAAGAAAACTTTTTACACGTTATACGCATAATATATGTGCCATCAGTGTGTGTGTGTGTGTTTCTGTGTGTGTGTGTGTGTGTGTGTGTTGGAGGACCTGGTCTCTAAAGCCATAAACATCCTCTGTCATCTTTTGCTTTTCCAATCTGTTAACAAGGAGCACAGGGGCTAAGTAACCTCTAAGAACAGCACTCACTCTTAGGTTGTCAGGAAGCGTCCTCTGACTGCTCTAAACAGTTTTAGGTTTCACACTGGGGTATGCAGGCATTACTTTATCACTAAAACAATAAACTGGAAACCGAAGCCTAGAAATGGAGTAAAATTTCAGAGAGAGAGAAAGAAGGCAATTGGGTCATAGATGCCACAGTGACTAACCCTAGTATGTGGTCTGTATTCTGTTTAATGAAGGGTGCAGCAAAGAAATAAAAATAATAAAAAAGGAACGTACACAGGCCTGTATTGTTTCTAGGGGAGTAAGACAGTATCGTGAATTTTAAGTCTTAAGGGCTGGCCTTGGCGTTCCTCAGGCTTACTGTCTCTTGTCTGTCCCTGATCTACGGGGCTTCTCCATTTCCTGGCCACCTTTTCCTCTGCTCTCTCCCTGTCACATCACATCTGAGGGTAGAAATGACTCTGTTTTCTCTTTTAGGACCCTTGGGAACAAGTGAGACTTTTTCTTTTTCTTGAGTGGCTCTGCTTAGTTGAACGCATGTTGGTTGAGCATATACTGCTGGGCAGGAGATACAAAGACGACCAACAGATGGCCTTGTCCTCAACTTGCTGAAGACCTAAGGTTGGCTGGGCTAAAACGGACACCGAGAAGTGTCAGCTGTTTTGAGGAGGGCGAGAGCATGTCTAGTCTTGTGCCTCAGGAAGGTTTTGTGCCGAATTCTGTCACTTGAGCCAGGCCTAGAGTGGGCAGGGAGATTTCCACGGGAGGTCCAGGGGAGGGCAGCCCTATAGCACGAGAGAGCCCAAGCCAGAGGGCAGAGCACCAGGCAGGCTGTGGGCAACCACCGCTCCGGCCTGTCAGGAAATGGGGTGTGTGTGTGTGTAAGAGGAAGGTGGTGGGAGCTACTGTGGAAAGACAGCCTGGGTAGGGGCACAGGAGCATGGGGTGTCCTGTATGCTGCAGCCAGCGGAAGATGGCGAGATGCCAAAGAGGTCTACTCTTCCTCGGGGGACCTCACTTGCACGGGTTTGTCCCCTCCCCACACAAGAACACCTCTAGCCCCAGGAAGAAGGCTTGGGGAGCCGTCAGCTTGAGGGTCCCCTATGGTGGACTCAGCAGGTGGCTTCTAACCTCCTCACCCACCGGCCACTGACAGCTCGCTTCTGGGCCTGCATCGAGCTCCTGACCCTGACTTTGACCCCAAGGAGGATATGAACAAGCCATTGCTTGGCTCCCTGCTCAGGGCCCGCTGTGACCCAGGCTTCAAGGCTGGGCAGGTGCCAAGGCTGGGCAGACGGAACTTTACAGAAACTTGTTTAAAAAAGAAATTCAGTATGTTTGAGTTTGCTGTCTGTATATGAAATGATTTATCAGACTGAAAAGTGCCAGAGTTACAACCCCCCAAAGTTACAATTTCTGTCTTTCAAAATCCAAAACATGGAAAAAATACATGAATCAATGGTTTTCAAGATACTGGACAGCAAGAAAGGAAGGACAGTGGTCCCTGAGAGACGGGTAACAAACAAGGTGAGCCCTCCAGTTGCCCCAGGTTACTGCCTTGAGCAAGTTTCCAGGCTGCCGTGCACAGAGGGGGACCTCAGAGGAGTCCCACGATCTCTTTGAGTTGAGGAAACAAATTGATCAACACAATATCAATCAAAATCCCAGCTGGGTGGGGTTTTTTTGGTAGAAATTAAAAAAAACCCCAACTGATTCTAAAATTCATATGGGAACTCAAAGAACAGCAATAGCCAAAACGAGTTTACGAAGAACAAAGCTGGAGTGACCCAGGCGGATACACGGAGCATCATACGTGCGAGAACAAGACAAAACAGTACGGACACGTGATCTGTGTCATTTCTGTAATTATTTTTAACGTCAAAATAATATTCTACTATAGTTATATTCTTATAGGGTTAATTGCTTTCTTATTATGGGACATAGTGTTTTGCTACAATAAATAATACTGTTATGAACATTTGTGTATAATTATACTTTTTCTCTTTAGGGTTATTTCTATGAAATGAAATTACAGGATTAAAGAGTTAATATACTTTTAAGGCTCTGGATACATTTTACCAAATGTTTGTGTCAAAATACCCCCCTACCAGCAGCACTTGAGAAAATTCCACCTCGTGGCCTCATTGCCAGCACTGTTTCTTGAAAGATAAAAAAAAAAAATCCTTGCTAACTTCATGGTAAAACAGTATTTTCTCCATTTCTTCACATTTCTGTGATTACCAGGTACATTATATTCCCCCTTTTGTATTTCCTCTTTTACCAGTGACTGGTTCACATCCTTTGCCCATTTTTCCATTTTCATCCATATTAATGAAATGATTTTTTATAAAGTTTCCATTGAAGCAACAATAAATCACTCACTAGAGCTCCCTTTATTGGACTGACTTAAGTATTTTAGTTAAAGAAACATTTAAAGACATATTCTGAAGACCACAGTTTATTGATAGGAAAAACAGGAAGCATACACGTTAAAGATCACCCTGTACCGCCATCAGGGGACGCGGGCTTCTCCGAGTAACACGCTGAGTGCTGCAGGGCCGCCGAGCACGCATCCTAGACCCGCGAGCCCGCGACTGAGCACGCACCCTCACCCCAAGACAAGGAGAGCGAGAAACAGCGCTTACACAAGTTTAATGTTTAGCAGGCACGTCTGGCTCGTGAAGAGTGAGTTCTGTTATTACCTCCTCAAGGTAGAGCTAAGTTTTTTCACCTCCTCATGTGCATCTTTATCCTACAAAGAAAACACAGACACAGTGAAAGTCCACACTGGCTCCGGCTCCGGCTCTGGGAGGCCGCGCTGCAAGGCCGCTGCAGAGCAGGGACCTCCTGCGACCCGGTGGCGCGGGTCTGAGCGCCAGCGACGTGGAGGCCAGGCCGGGGAGGGCTGGCGGCGACCGGCCAGGGGGGGTGTTGATGACACTGTTTTCTTCTGCTGCTGTGAGGTGTGGAAGGAGTCCTGGCCTTAGCAGCAGGATTTGGAAAAATCTGAGATTCCGCTGTAAGGCCCAGACAGGCAAATCCACATTTCATTATTGACTTTACCAGGGACTTTATAGTTAAGATTAAAAATCATATATGTTTATGATATTTTAATCCTATCCTTTTAGCCATATCATGTTTTATAGCCTCCACATGTATTGTTATTTCTTAAAACAAGTGTGTAAGTTAGAAAGAGTGGCAATAGATTCAAGAGAAAGGGCACTCTTATGCATGTTTGCATTTAACATTTATTGAGCACCTATCAGGAAGAACTTAAGGACTGTAATAAATTTAGAGAGATGGGGAAAACTGGACAAAATAGATATTTGAAGGAGCTGCTACATTTTTTTAAAACGGAAAGTTCTTTAATATCTTTGTTCACATTAATATACTGACTCAATTATAGTGTCTGATCAACTAGAAGTTTACTTTCTATCAAATCAGTTTTGAAGGTTGTGAGAAAATATGAATGAATCTAGGGTATTAATGTATTATTTAAAAGAACTTATTTTTAAAAACATAATTCATGTTTATCTTTGTTGTTTTAAGGCTAGCTCTGTGCCTGGCATCTAGAAGCCCTAAATAAATGTCTGCTAAATTAGTGGCTAGATGCTGGAACACAGGAACACTGGGGAACAAACAAAGGCTAACCCTCTCCCTACCACCCCTACCTCCACCCCTACTCCTACCCACAACAGCATTACCTGGGATATTTGGATCACTTAGAAAGCGTGTCTTATTTGTCCATGTTTCCATTCAGCCTTGCCATGTAGATATGTATTTCAAAAGTAATATAATAATTAGAAAAAATTATGTGTTCTGCATTTCTTCAGTTACAGTAAATGCTGTTTTCTAATTGAACAGTCTTTTTAAATATGTTTACAGTTGCATAAAAATAGAATAGTGATATAATAAAGGAAAAATGAATAGTGATATAATAAAGGAAAAATGCCCTTATTACTCAGCATAATTTTTTTCATGGTATTAAAGACAAATACCAATGTATTAAGAGTTTTAATCAACAACTTTTATTAGTCTACCAAAGAGGTTATCCCATTGCTTATTACCTCTCACCAAATTCCGATTCAACATTTCCAAGAATGCATCACAGTTCTGTATCTTTACACTGTTTACAGTAATATGTCATTTGGCAAAAGTCTAAATCATATGTTGAATTGTGCACTAAAGGGTTCCTGATACAGTACTTTTTCCAGTATGAGTCTTCCTGCATAAATTACAGATGAGGACATTTTTATGTTGACTTGCGGCCTGTGGAACTCACAAGTGTGAGAGCTTGCAGGTTGACTATGGTGTGAGTGACCACTGAAGACTTTCCTTCATTCGTGACACTGAGAGAGTTCTATACGGTGAAAATCCTCATGTGTCCTGGAGAGCTGCTCTATGAGTAAAGGGATCCCCATGCTTATTTCATTGAATTGCTTCTCCAACATGCATCATCTGGTATTTCCCAAAAGGCTTCCTCCACCTGGTAAAGACTTGCTGCTTTCCTTCCTGGTTTACCCTAAGTTTTCTGTGCACATCAAGGCTTGAGCTTTGGTTGCAGGCTGCAGGGTTTCCCGTGTGTACAATTCGGTGCCTATAAAGGTTAGATGGGAGGCTGAGGTTCTTCTGCACATGTTACATGTACACGGTTTCTCTCCAGGGAGCTTTGTTTCATGGTGGCTAAGCCTAGAGCACCACTGAGGGCTTTACCACAGAGATGACCTTCATATGGTTTCCCTGCAGTGAATTCACTCATGTCATTTGAAGGATGAATTGTTACTGGAGCCATTTCCAAACTGATCACAAAGGGTTCCTCTCCTGCATGAGTTCCCTGGAATAAACAAAGAGGTAGTAGCTCTCTGGCTGAAGCGTTTCCCACGTTCATTACACTTGTAGGGTGGGTTTCTCTCCAGCGGGAGTTAACACAGGTTGAGTCAATGTTGAGCTGTGAGTAAATATTTCCCCGTTATCAATACAGTCAAAGAACTCCTCTCCAGGGCGAAATCTCTGCTACTGAGAGGCTGATAAGGTTTCCCCACATCTATGCACCTTTCTACGTGTGAATTCTACGATGATCATTCAGTGGTGCTCTCTAGTTAAAGTCTTCGCCACAGTGCTTGCACCCCAAGGTGTGTTACACTCACCATGCACAGACGTTTTCTCCTGTGCATCACACCAACTGTAGCGCTATCTGAGTAACTCTGAGGCCTTCATTATGTTTCAGCACTTCACATAGCGACCACATTTAGGCAAATGTCCTCTTGTAAGAACTCAGGGTATGGTTTTGAGCTCAGGTTATCCCTTTCTTCCCCAGATTCAAACTCCAGAAACCTTTCTGCTGAGACAGCACACCTTCTCTCTCCTCAAACTGAAATCAGGGGATTTTGCTACCTGCTTAACGCGTCCCATTCACTGCCAACCCCAACGTGGAGGATCAGGGTTCACCCTCATGGATCTTATTGTGACACTAGATGGCTCCCTCCTGCGCAGATTCTGCAGGGAAGTTAGGTCTTGGTTTTTGGACTTTCCTGCCTGGACTCCAGCCTTGGGGAAATCCTCTCCCTCCTCTCACAGCTCTCCCCCTTGCACCAGCTGGGAAGTCACATCTGATTTTCAGAGCTTATGCCCCTACGTAGACCAGTTGGCTGGTGTTTAATGGCACATCTCCATGCATCTTCCAGGTAGGGCCAGAAGGCCACTCTTACTCAGTGAAGTCCACAGCCACGTCCCCAAAGGTCATCACTTCCTATGGCCACCATGACAAGAACTCAACCACCAGCTGTCTTCCTCTGTTTTCTCACCCAGGGACAGTCTGAGCACTAAGCTGAGAGAGCAGACCCCGAGTTCATGAAAACTTGAGTGAGAGCTCCTTGATATTGAGGTTGGTGTCACCACATTCTGCAGAGCTTCTTTTTCTCTCTAGAAAAAGGCCAGGAATCTGTATTTTTAAACAAGCCCTCCAACCCCAAGCAAATCTTAATGATGTAAACCACTGGGCTAAAATTCTAATTTCCGTAGAATCTCAGGTTACCTGTCAACGCTTCAAGAAGGCCTTTCCCAGCCCCTGGTCCAGGCTGTAGTCCATTATATTCTCATAAATCTCTGTGCTTTCACTTCCATACACTCATCACACTTTATTGCTATTACGTGTTCAGTGCCTGCCTTCCCCCAGAGGAAGTATTTTTCTCTCATTGTATCCCAAACCCCTAGCAGAGCACCCCCATGTTTGTAATAGAAAAAAGATAATCTTTTTCACTCATTTGAACACACATTAAAAACACAGATTTATTTGATCTAGAAGTGTTGGGAGATATATTTTTTGGAAAATACATCAGTGCTCTCTGCTAAAGACTGGACATTTATATTAAATTGCTCTACTAGCATTTGGGTAATGATTATCAGCTATCAGCTTTACTAGATGGGGTACTGATTAAGAATGACTGATCTGAAACTGATGCTATATCACCAGTTATTTTAAGAAAATTAATTAAAAGAAGGTCCACAAAACTTCTTTAAGGTGTTTTTAAGATCAACTTAAAGAATACAATTAAGGCCATTATATATTGAGAAAGCTTAGGAACTAATATATTTTGAATGTAAATGAAAAGAAGAGCCAAAAGAGTAGAAATGAGAGGCTTTAAACAAAGTTACCCTCCTTTCTCCCCCACTCATGAAAATGCCTGTTCAATGGGGAAAGTCTGTCTACCCTAGAATGGTCTTATTAATTTTTTTAAATGTACAAGGAAGGATAAATTTTCCAGGCATGGATAGCACAGATAAATTAGTCTATAAGAAATACGTTCAAACCAAAAAGAAATAGGCAAGTAAGAACTTCTAACCAATGAGCCCCTGGACCACATTGCAGGATTTCTATAAGTAACCCACTCGTGACTCTGAGCTTGGCATTCCTGCAACGGGAAAGCAGGTGAGCATCTGTGGGCTAACTGGACTGCTAAACCTCTTTGAAAACCAATGTCTTAATTAAGACAATCAAACATGAGGTCTTGATTAAGATAGGACCTTTAAAGCAGGATTAGGATTTTAGTACTAGAGAGGTTCCTAATGACAAGGATGGTTCTCAATCTAAGTAAGAGGCAGGAGATGCAGCCCAGGACTTTACACAACAGGTACCTTCGAAGACAACGCCATCGCTTGCTAATGTGAACAAGTATTCTTTACTTTTAGTGCTCCCAGAGTCCGCTGCTTCTGGAACATTGATGTACTATCTGTCCTCTAAGGGCTGATCTTAGAAGAGCGATTAACGTCACTTCAAAATATTACAACTTTTAGTTTTTTCTTTACCTGTTAGCACATCCCTCACTGTAAGCACATGTGTATACGACATGCTCTTTATAGTTGAGCTTGCTCAGTACATTCCAAGTCAATAACCTGACTGCTTCCTCCAAGCAAGCAGTTTTCAGCTGCCAGTGTAGTCATTATTTCACTTAGCAATCACTCCACACTGCCTTACACACAGGAATTCTTTTCAATTTAAGAAAAGGAATGTTTCCCAGGACCTGAGATTACCTTCCGAGGGTCAGGAAAAGTCCACGTGAGTAACAATGCTGAAGTTTCACGTATGAGAATGTGAAGCTGCTCACACACTCGAGTCTGGATGCTAGAGCCCAAGGGCTGACACTCCCAGCTCCCAGTGCAGGGCGGTGAGCTCCCTGACAGGGGCAGGCGACATGCTCACAAATGACTACGGCGAGAGGAAGAGCTGCAAGCGCCACACGAGAGAAGCAAATACGTTCCGCATTTCACATGAGGAGAGAGAATGAACGGCTGTTCCCTCATGTACTACCAGACACTCTGGAAAGGAACACACTGGTCGGCCAAGTCACTAAGGGGGTACATTTCAATCTGGAAACGCTTTATACAGACAGGGGTACTACAGATAACTCGCCTGATCCTATTTTTAATTGAGAAAGGATCTGAGATACTCCTGGCAGTACATTTACTACTTGGGGAAAAAAATTGCTAGGAGTACAAATGGAAACATCACTGGAAAAAAAATGAATGCGAGAAATATCTGCTAATGTTACATTGTGTATTACACAAATATTCCCACAGTGCCCAGCTTTCTTAGTCACCTTTATTACCAGTCCTATTTATTCTTACTATTAGCACTATTATATCTGTTCGCATGGTATTAGTCTTTTGATTTTTTCTACCAATACTTACTGAGTCTTCATTACATCCCAGGCACTACACCTGGCGCTTGAAATAGAGCGGTGGGTGAAGCACACCTGCTGTTCCTTTCATGGAACAATCACACGAATAACTAACTGTATAATCCCAACTGTGCTAAATGAAGGAAAAGCACAAGGTACTTTCTTGCCTGGGCGTGTCAAAGAAGTCTTTCCTGAAGAAATGACACTTCTGGCGAGGTTTGAGAGGTGAGTAGGAATAAAGCTTAAGAAGGAAGCAGAACACTCAGGCGGGAGAGTGTCGGGAGGAGGGAGCAGTGCGTCCTATGGGTGGAAGGCAGGGAAGGAGGGAAGAGAGGACAGACGAAGCCTGAGAGATTGGTCGGAGCCAGAGCAGAGCCTTGAAGGGCATGCTAGAAATTTTGAACTTCATCCTAAAAGTAAAAGATCTTAAAGCAGGAAGTGACATGTTGAGAGGTGAATGTTTATCCCATTGCCTTGGCTGTTATCGAAAACCAAGAACGGAGCAGGAGGCAAGAAGCTGCGAGGAGACCAACCGGGGGCTCGATGCGGTGCACTGCTCAGGAGAGATGCAGAAAGATATAAATTTGAGGACCCCTGGCAGGTACATGGCATCTGAAGCCTTGGAGGTATAGGGAGGAGGAAAGGGGAGAGAAAAGCCTCAGGTACCAAGGTCATCAATATCTCGCCCCCTCCTGTGAGAACTCTAATTTCGTGCATAAACATTCGCACGTCAAACCAAGTATGTTACCTATTGTCATAGTGAATTCTAGTCTCGTGTTCTAATAGGAATGCAGGCATTCAGTTTCAAATCACTGCACATAGCCCATACTGACATCATTCAGAAGGGACGTAAAAGACAGCAGGGTCCCCGTCACCAGCACGGAACAAGCAACCAGCAGGACGGAAATCTGTGTTTTGCTGAAACAATTACACAACTTGCCTTCTGGAGGAGTGTTGCTGCTGAGATGCTGCTGTGCACTATTAACCAACAGAAGCAACTGAGGGATTCCAGTCAGCAGGACAGTCAGCCCTGCAGGAAATCCCAAATCTAAGCTGTCCAAGGCCTTGCCGAGGTGGCTGCTGAAGAGGCCACAAGCATCCCTGAACCCCAACGTCCTGGGCAGGCCTGGCTGCACCCCCCTTCCAGCCTTATTTCCAGCACCGCCCTCAGCACTCCTTAAACAAATCTTTGCCCTTCCGCCCGGGCCTCTGTCTGTGCTCCGAGGACCTGCATTGCTTCCCTAACCCGCCACATGATCTCCATCTTCCAAGGTCCACCTCTAATGCTAACTGATCTCTTCCAGGTGAAACCGATTTCTCCCTTTTCCATGTTTCCATAACCACCTGTCTGTATCTCTCCAGGCACTCATGCCTTATCCCGTGAGCTGTTATTTGGATAAGTGTCTCATTTTCTCTGCTAGGCTATGCGCTCCTAGAGGGCGATGGGCATGTCTCACACGTTTATATTCCAGATCCCAACAAAAGTCAGAACCTGCATCGCTCCAACAGAGAAGAGGGATGCTGCTTTCTGTGGCATTCCTTCTCAGTTGTGGCTTGGAGGACGGCAATGTCTGGAGGTCTGAGGAGGGAGCAGGCAAACACTGATGTATTTCCTTTTGTTCCCACTATACCAGTAAATGGCTCACAGAACATGGACTGAGCTGTTAACTCTGTGAAATTCTTAAAACTTAAGGCACATCCGGAGTCCTGAATTAGTGAAAAGGGTAAGAATCAAGGCAATCGTTTCTTTTTCACTAATGGTGGGTGTTCCAAGGAAATGTTAACACGAATTTCAATCTTCTTCATGCTGTGGGCAGCCACACCTGCTGCAGCTGGGGACTGACGCCGGCAGCACGGGTGCTCCTCTTGTTCTCGGGTGGGCGGCCGCCTGCCGTGGCCTAATCACCAGCTCCCCACCCACCTCGTGGGGCTCGTCTAGCACCTAATCAGCATCAGGGTGTTTTAACTGTTAGCCCAGGATCTGAGAGTCCCTTAGAGATACAACGAGTCGCGGGGGTAGAGGAGCATGGGCGGAGGTGAGAGGGCACAGAGGGGATAAATGGTGACGGAAAAAAATAAAACAAAAATTTTAAAAAAAGATATAGGGGTCTCCTGGTAAAGGGTTACCTACAGCAGTTATCACATGAAATCCAAGTCCAGATGTTTCGGTATACAAGAGAACTCCAGATGTATGTGAGCCACTGTTCACATCTGGAGCTGGAATCATACTGGTAAAATAACAGTGCTCTTTGGCACGGCCTCGACTTACCTCTCTGGTAACACAAGGAAGCTGCACTGCCAAATTACAGAACTTCAAGGCATTATCTTTTTGCTTAAGATCGATGTAACACTAGAAATGGAAAAGAACCAATATTAAAGGTAATCTCTTTTTTTTTTAGTTTTTTTTTAAAATCCTCACCTAAGGATATTTTTTCCATTGCTTTGCAGAGGGAGTGGAAGGGAGAGAGAGAAACCTCAATGTGAGAGAAACACATCAATTGGTTGCCTCCTGTATGCACCCCGATCGGAGCCAAGGATCAAGCCTGCAACCAAGGCACATGCCCTTGACCGGAATCGAACCCGGGACCCTTCAGTCCGAGGGCCGACACTCTAACCATGGAGCTGAACTGGCCAGGGCAAAGGTAATCACATTTTATGTAATGGATTTAAAGTGATCTTAAAACAGCTGTCTTCATTACCTTGGCAAGGAACATGTAATTGGACTTGGAAAAACCAGGGTGTAGTTCTTCAACCTGATTTTAAGGGGAAACAGAAAAGAGAAAAACAGGGTGACATTAAAGCAACAATACCAACCAGTGACGAGGGCATATTTCAATAAATCAAGTGTTAACCAAACTGCCCTAAGAATTTAGGTTGGCTGTGTCTCATCTGAGTCCTTTTATCAGTTTCAAAGTATCCACTGGATGCAATTACAGCTTTTTAGCTTATCCATTAAAATGAAATTATTATTATGGTCATAAAGCTTACAAAGCAATGAAATACTGTTAAGGTTTTCGGATTCCCCTGTATAACCATCTCCTCACCTCCTCTCTGTCCTGTTTTTTTCCTTTAGAGAAGAGAAACAACTGGTGATACACTCCCAACCACCTGAGCCACCCGGCAGGGCTCAGAACACTTACTTTTGCACCAAGCATTCCAGGCAGCCACCTGCCACTGTTCAGAGGTGGAAAGTGCAATGAAACCCAGTCCTCATTTTAGACTATATGATCTCTAAATTCCCTCTCAGTTCTACAAAACTGATCCTTAAAATACTACCAAAAAAATCAGCATGTACAGTATGTTGGACAATACAGTTCAAAGCCTGCATTTGTCTATATTGTTACAAATCTGAAACCATATGTGGGGGAAAAAATACCTTATATCTATTAAAGTCTATAATGGGTTTCAGACATAGGTAAAGGGGTTAACACAACAGGAAGTTGGTTATATATGTGGGTATATTACACATGTACATGTGTGCACACACTCATATTACTGCTTAGAGTTTTATTAGTATAGCAATTATACATTTTAAGACACAAATGAAAATAATGACTTGGTCTGATGCCTCAAGAATGTTTCATAGACCTGCCTGCAGCTTATAGAGTGGCTTTTAAAATAACTCTTCCTTTTGGCATCTTTTAGTTAAGATTAAACTGTTTCTATATTGGGCTAATCAGGAGTATTTGGGACCATGTCAAATAATCAGGGCATGAATTCTTTAAAACATACTCACATGACCTGGAGAGCTGCTCTTGGATTTGGTAGTAAGGGCTGTTGTACCTGGGACCTAGAGCATGACTAGCTGCTCTAGGAAGTAGTTTGGATTAAAAATATAACTCATTCTGAGAGGCTTAAAACAGAAGTAGGATTCAAACCGTTAAAAGATCTACACGTGGAGGAGAGAAACATTTCCTTGACAAATGTAGGAAAGACTGATCCAGATAGTAGCTAGTTTGACTCTAAAATAATGGAGAGACAAAATATACCTTAAGGAAATTTTGCAAAGCTTCTTGTACAGTTGAGGATGGTATTTTTCCAAACAGAGTAGCAGCCATCTTTTTCTCAATCCAGCTCAGTTTTGAGACCTGCAAATATAGAGCAACATCACTCTTAGAAAGTGTTTGCCTTTGGAATGAATGCTCTCTCCTCAGATGTGTGTGTATATATCTATATATGTATATGCATATAATACTATATAAATACATATCCATAAATAATATATATGATATCAGTTTTGTGGTATTAATATTTTACCTTCCTTTTTCATAATTCAAAAACCTATGAACTCTGAAAACATTGGCTACAAAACCAATTTGAAACACTTGTAAGAAGATTTTAAATTGGGGTGGGGGTGGGGAATAATGTTAATCTTGTCTGTTCATCTGATTCATGACTCTCAGATGACTGCCAAGCATTTCTTGGCACAGAGTGTACTAGCTCCAAGACCCCGCCTTTGCTTTCTTCCTGCCTACTCTGTGCTGCCAACCTGACCCAGAGGGCAGTGTCTCAGAAACTTAAACAGAATGAAGATTCTCAACCTGAAGGGAATGTACAATGGGGGCCCAATATACATATTTACAATCCAGGAGAAAATTTTTTAACCAATAATCATCAACATTAAATTCCATATTACCAGTTATTTTTTGTTTTATTTAAAAAGTTTTTCATTTCCCCCAAATATGAATATTAGATGCTTATCATAAAATATTAAAGGATTCAGAAGTGAATTCTTAAAAAGGGTATTGATGTGCTTCCCAACCCTAGTAAGTGCCTTCCTTCCCAATTCCATCTTCTAGGTTTCTAGGTGGCCATTAACTACTGTGTTAAAAAAATTATTCCCTTGCTTTTATACATAGTTACTGATTGCTATGCCTAGTTTTGCTTTTTTAAAACACTTTACAAAAATGTTGTATTATTTCCTTTGATGAGTTTTTTAATACTAAATATTAAAAAAAATTTTATACTTCAATTACAGTTGACATACAATATTATACAAGTTTCAGTTGTACAAATTTTTCACTTAAATATTATCGTTTCAAGGTTTCAACCTGGTTGGGTGTAACTGAAGTTCAGTCATTTAAGTAACTGAAATATTCTATCACTTAAACATACATCCAAGACTTTCCATCCACTCTTTTGTGAATGGGCATTTGGGTTTTTCCCATATTTTGCTCTTAGGAACAAGGCTGCTACAGGCATTCTTGTGCATGCCTTTGAGAACATTTGCAAGAGTTTCTCTAGGGTATTCCATGTTTCCAAAATCTAAAGTCCTTTTAGAACTATTTCTGTTGATTGTCATGCCTGATGGCTTACTTCTTGTATATTGCATTATTTTTGACGGTGAGTTCAATATTGTTGGTTAACTCTGCAAGAATTTTATAAGGCCTGTGTGAAGGAACATTCCTCCAGGAAGGATTAGCATTAGCTTCAGCCATTTGTCTATAACATGAAGATCAGATTCCATTTTGCATTAAAATTTCCTTCTTGAGTTTTTGAAGCCCAAACAAGTAACATACATTTAAGTTCCAAACTCATGTGACATTGGGTCATTGATTTTCACACCTTAGGGGAGTCCCCTACCTTCATGAAGACTCAGATTCTTATTGATTTTTTTAATATATCTTTATTGATTTCAGAGAGAGGAAAGGAGAGGGAGAGAGAGAGATAGAAACATCAGTGATGAGAGAGTCATTGATCGGCTGCTTCCTGCACGCCCCTGACTGGGGATCATGCCCGCAACTGGGCATGTGCCCTGACTGGGAATCGAACCCCGATCGCCTGGATCCTAGGTCGATGCTCAACCGCTGAGCCACGCCAGCCGGGAAGGACTCAGATTCTTAACACTTAAAACTAGCATCATAAAAACTGCTTATAAGAGTTTTGAGAAAATTATAATTATTAGAGCTGTTGTAGTAGGAATATTTGAGATAAGAAATATAAAGCATAAAATGCATAGTTGGTGCGTAGCAGGTGTTCAGTGAAAGGAAGCTGCCTTCTTCATCCTAATCCTCTTCAAGCCTCATTTTAAAAGTTTCCTTTTTTCCTCCCTCTAATTTTCTCATTCAGACATAGCATTTCCCTTCATGGTAATTTTTCCATGCATCTCTTAAGATATATTTTCACATTCTGCTAGTTTTCCATAAATTAATGCCATTTAAGACACTTGGTCTTAGACTTACCAGCTGCCTTCATTTCTACGTCTCATGTCCCATTCTAAATTAAGTGTTTTTGAACATAAGGACAGTATTTTATTTATCTTCTGGCCAGTGAGCACATAATTTATACTCGATCAACTCTGAATGAAAAAAGCCCTCCCACAAAACAGTCAGTAGTGCACCAGTACCGGCTACATATATGTGTAGGTGGCTGACAACCCCGCGAGAGAACATAAAGCGAGACAGTGTGCCTGCTACAAGGGGAAACAGAAAGGCAGTAACGGAAAAAAATACACATACTTATATAAAAATCATATATTACATATAACATATATGTAAGTATATAAATTATAAAATATAAATACATAAACTCATAAAATTTGTACTGCTTTTACTTATTTCCCTATAGTAGGCACTAGGTAAAATAATAAAAGAATGAATAAGTCATTGAAAATATATCATACTGTCAGAAGTATATTCAAGTAAGACTTATAGATAAAAGTATTAAACTTACAGCATAACAGTATCTTCCATTGAGGTAATACAAAAAGGGTTCTTCAGGTAATAACGTGATTGCTTTATCTAGATGTTCCTGAAAGAAAATCCCAAAGAAATATCATCTCCCAAGGTTCCAAGGCAGTGTTCAGTGGAACTGTACCTAGAAAATTCAAAGGAGCTTAACAGGGTTGTTTCGTCCCCATGCTTGATGCCTATCAGTAATACAGTTCATTACCACCAAGCATTCATTATCAAAAATCATTGCTCAGAACCAGAACGAGGGCAGTGACTGTGATTTAATAAGCTGCAGATAATCTAAAGTCAAAATGTCACTATAAAAACAGAGCACACCCAGTCACATCATTGTCTGCCCTTGACTTGCCTACTCATACCTGATTCAGAGGCAAATTTACAAAATATCAGATGACAAGGGTATTAGGAGGAAAAAACAGCAGAACTGGATGGTAGAGGAATCTACTCTGCTGACACTATCAAATGGTTACAGGGAGCTGGGGAACAAAGAACTCTCTGCCTGTTACTGCAATTATTGACCCTGAGGGGTTATTTATTGAGCTATGATAACTAGAGGCTCACTATAAACGATGTGTGTTGCATTACTTATTTTATTCATCTACCACAGTAATTTTAAGCCCGAGGCTGGATTCTACACCTCCTGCAAATCAATATGCAGAAAATGTTAACTAATTAGTTCAGTCATGTTTATGGTATTGGTGAGCTCAAGACCGACAGGCTAATCCCCTAGCTTTGAAAAAAATATACTCGTCTACTATGTGACTTCTTTCGGGATCTAGAATAATAATAATCTCTGCCCTAGGCAGCTTGGCTCAGTGGCTAAAACGTCAGACAGCAGACTGAAGGGTCCCGGGTTCGATTCCAACAAAGGGCACAGACCTCGGTTGCAGGCTCGATCCCAGGCCCTGGTCAGGGCACATGTGGGAGGCAACCAATCGATGTGTCTCTCTCACATCGATGTTTTTCTCTCTCTCTCTCTGTCTCTCCCTTCACTCTCTCTGAAAAGCAATGGAAAAGGTATCCTCAGGTGAGGATTACAAACTACTACTACTACTACTACTAATGATCTCTAAGCACTCAAACCGTTTGATTCCTTTTGGCACAGTACTATTTGAAGAATGTCATGTCTTTGAAATACAGAAGATAAATTCCTAGAGATTAATTTGTTGAGTAATTTGATTTAGGCCTGTTAATGGAACATATGGCTACATTAAAACATTTTTTTTGCCTCACCCCAGCCCCAAACAGTTTTAATATCAAGAAATACCTTGAAGCAATGTCCACAGTTGATTTTGTTTTGTAAGCCCTCAAAGTCAGATACATAGCCACACAAAACTGCATACCTGAAAAGAGTAAAAACAGTGGATATTGTGTGAACTTTTATTCAAATACCACCAAATATAACAGTTAAAAAATGTCTCTGAAACAGTCATTAATATTTAACAAAAGTATTCACGTAGATGCAAGGGCCCCAATAGTAATGAATACTTGAAGTTAATGTGAGGCCAGTTTCCTCCTCTATAACTGGGAATACTAACACCATCTATCTCATATGCATGCTGTGAGGGTAAATATCTAAAACATGTAATTGCTTAGAATACTGCGTAGCATACAGTGAGTCTCAAGAAATGTCAGCTGCCACTATCACCATCACCAATATTAAAGTCACAAAGAGACTCTCAGGAAAAAATCTAATCATGAAAGTATTAAATTGAAAAATATATTGGATCAACAAACCCCTGCTTCTTCTTTAACACAAATAAAAATTTCATGGCCTCCTTTAATGTCATTTGAAGATAAAAATATCATTACTCAAACTAAATAAAGGCAAAGGTAAATTTTAGAATATGCTTTTTCAAAAAATTCCCCATATCCTTCAATCCTTCCTTGGAAACACTGCATTACTAGAATAGCAGAGCCCATGGATTATTTACTTTTTTCTCATTGGGAATGCAAAATTTACATAAGTAATTATTTGACTATAAATTGAGTATGATATTTGTTCAGCAATTTGCTTATTCTAAAAATTGGGGATATACTACTTTTCAGAGCGTTTCTGTCTTAGGCAAAATACTCATTGACCTAAGTCTTTCAAGAGGAGGTGTTAATTTTTACTCACAGCATCCTAACTGAAATGAAAAAGGGACTTTGGGCATTTACCTCTTTTGTTTCTATGGATAAGCATAACTTTCAAGTATAAACACGAAGTGCACAATTTTCTTATTTTGGAACAGTAAGACCCTTTCTGGACAAAAAACATCAGATAGTTCACATAACTTATGCACGACCAATAAAACGGCTACTTCTCAATGATGACTTTTTGCCCTCTCACGTGTTCAGTTTCTACCTAACCAGTGGAACCCGTGACAGCAGAAGCAAGAGTGATGACTGAGTCCGGCTACTGAAAGCGACCTGAGAGCGGACCTGGGTGAGAAGACGCTGTCCAAGCTGTCCCCTCAGGCTGCATTTCACATGCACCTCTGCACCCACCAGAGGATTTAAGAAAAGGTGGCAGGAAAAAGACTGGAGCTGCCTTATGAAAAGCACTCCTGCCAGCTCGGCCTCACGGCGCCCTTTGACACGCCCTCCCTCCTGGCCTACCGCCCCCCGAGCGTCCCACACGCCCACCGCCCAGCTCCCCGTTTCTGTTACGGGTGTTACAGCGGATTTGGACTTAAGACCTGAGGCTGCTTTTTAAAAACTAAATGTTTATTTTAAAATAGTGTGCAACTTACAGGAAAGTTGCAAAGACAGCGCCCAGTTCCCGTCTACCCACACCCGGTTTTCTGTCGTTCACATCTTACATTACTGGAGTACATTCATCACAGCCGCACCAATACTGACGTACAATATTGTACATCACTTTCACGATCAATCAATATTAATAAATTATTAACTAAACTCCACTTCATTCAGACTTCCATTTTCCCCTGATGTCCTTAAATTCTGACACTTTCTCCCCATCCTGCCTTCCATATTTACTCCTATTAAGTAACACCTTGTGCAGTATCTGTTAACATGTGAAAATCTTTTGAATTACTACTGTTACCCATCACACATCCTGTTCCTCCTAATCCGTGTTACTCTGTAACTTTTACGGGCATACCTTCCATATCTTCACCCACTGACAAAATTACTAAGACACAGACCTGGAACTCTAGAATCACCTCCAGATTGACAGTGATATTGTCAATAGTCTTTCTGTGGAATAACCGAGGCCCAAACCCTCCTGTCAGCATGGACAGCCCAGAAGCTTGCTCACATTTCTACATCCTGTTCACAAGAACTTTAGCAGTGAACTTGCCTTAAAGCCTTCCTTAAATCCAGATATACTAGCTCCGTTTCCCTACTCTATCTACTAGCAAAGAAATAAAAAAAGACCATGTCACATTTTAAGAAAATCTATGCTGGGTCTACTTGGACGTCCTTAGGCAGATTCCCAGAACATCCCACGTAACGATCAGTGCTGGAATCAAAGGAAAAGATTCTACGTTCCCTGATCGACAGCGGTGGAATTGACCTTCTATTTCCTGAAAATGAGAACTATTTGTGCACGTGTCTAGGCTTTTATAGTGCTCTCAGCACATTCTCTCCAAGTTACTCTGTGTAAAGAAAAAAACTGTGATATCTGAATACCATTATATAAAATATGTACATTTTTCTTTATAAATAACCTGTCACTGGAGTCTTACATTATTCATAATCCTTTTTGAGGTCTGCTTCGTTATAGCCTAAAATATACTTATGTTCCTACACATCACAAATTCACAATACACCTGACCACTGTTTCCCAAAGGATCACTGCTTTTCTGGCATTCAATCCACCTATGTCTCTGGGTGTGTGCTGTTTTTTTTATATTGTTCATCTTTAAAAATGTAATTAAAAAGTTTATTTCCTAAACTCTCAACTTGATGGGAACGCCGAAGAAAGGTAAATCACAATATGGTCTACTACCTCCATCTAGAGGTCATTCTAACCACATGCATTTTGACAAAATTTCTGTATTTTATTGGCACTGATATTGACTATATCTTTAATAATTGACAAACATTTGTTTCAATGACTAAAACAACTGTTAGTTTCCCTGCAGCATTTCTGACTGAGCACAAATGCTACTTATACTGTGCAAAGCAGAGGAAGAAGAATGTGATAGAATACTGAGTATTTAAGAATGTAAGATCTGCCTTTGTTTTTCCACTTACTGTGTGAACCCTGGTTGCTAAGCTACTCATCAACACACACACACACACACACACACACACACACACACACACACACACACCCCCACCTTGCTTACCCCATCTATAAAATGAAAACAAGTTGTTCTGTGAATCACACACTATGAAGCGTGCAGATATAATTTGTGAACAGTAGAGCACAATAAATATGTAAGATATTATTTATAATTAAGGTCAAGCCAATTTGGCTAACAAACTGCACATCCATTGTTGGTTTTAGTCTCTTGATTCCAGAACAGAAAGCTTGTGGTAGCCTTAAAGTTACAGAGCAATTTTATTCTGGAAAAGATGAAGATGAAAAACAAGCCTTTAAAATAATATGGTTTTTCAATTATTCCCTCAGTGTTAATCTTTTATGATAATTATTCATAAGTAAGGATTGCATCTTTTATTTCAAAATGAAGGCTTATAACCCATCACATAGGCCTGTAAACCATGGGTCTGCAAACTTTGGCTGCAGGGCCAGCTAACAAATATATTAGACTCTAGGGGTCAGAAAGTCTCTTTTCAAATTATTCAGCTTCATCACTACATTGTGGTTAGAAACACAGCAGCATCATCTTAGCATTTGTTTTCAAATAAAATCTTACATTAAATGAGTTTCAACTAGAATTTATCAAATTCAAAGCCACTGGACTTGGTAGGCTCGCTTATGAAATCTTCAGTGAAAGTTTACCTTAAATATATTTAAAATATACATAATGAAAAATCCATGAGAACAAACAGAACAAGAACAGTTACTGTTATCTACTAAGTATGTTTTTCAGTGAACGTGATAGGTTAAATGGGTCATATTTTGAATTTCATTGTAATTCATAGAGGCAGGTAAGAATTTTAAAAGACTGCATAAATTCTATACACTTACCACAAATGGCAATGTCCATTCATGGGTGCTCTAGTAACAGCTTTTTCACCTAATGTCTTTCCTGAAAGATAAACGGACTTACACTTAGTACCTTTGTGTGAGTTGGTGGAGGGTAGATTATTGAATTAAATTAGCGGTTTCCAAAGTATGGTCCCAAGACCAAAAGAATCAATTGGAAACTTGTTAGGAAGCAAATTTTTGGCCACATGAGAGACTTACCTGATCACAAACTCTGGGACTCAGCAATGTGTTTTAACGAGCCACTGTGACTGTGATGTATGCTCAAGTTTGAGACTCACTGGACTAAGTGATTTAACCAAGGGCAAAATAAGTCAATCAATCATTATTTAAAAGCATTAACAGAAATTGTTTTGTAATTAATTAACATTTGTTGAGTGCCTTCTAAGTGCCATGTTATGTGAGCCTCTGGGAATAAAAAGTCAAATAAGACACAGTTCTTGAATTCCAAGGGCTTACAGTTCAGTAGATAGCAGGTATATAAACAAACAAATTACACGCAAAAAATTTAAAGCAAGCTAAAAAAGAGCCCAGCCGAGAACAGAGTGAGTAACGCCATCTAAAAGGATAGGGGAAGCTGCCCAGGGAAGTTCTGACCCAATTATTCACAATAAACGAACAGCCTCAGGACATAAATAATTCTCCCAAATCATTTTACTTAGTTTAGAATAACTTTTAATAATGCAATAATTACTTTGGATAAAGGTTTGTCTATTCGCTTGAAAAATCCAAATGCTTGCAACAAAACTGAACCACAGTCTGAAAATCTTTCTAAAAATGTGGCTGTTTTATTTTATACCCATCTCTTTTTACCCTGCTTTTTTTTTTTTTTTTTGCCTTGGAAAGAATATTTGACTTGCAAAATGCCCTTCTAAATAGTTGAGATGATCTTTGTAAGTCTTTATAAAAGTTATTTTATAAAAGCTCTTCTCCTATTTGTTAATTTGTTAAGGTGGTACTTTATAGCTCTATCCATGAAGAAAGAGAACTACTTTTGTACAAACCTCCATAAACCGAAAAATATTAAAAAGTGAAGTATTTTAATAACTGATACTACATTGCGGACATATTTAAAAGAATCAGTAATTTGCAAATGAATGATTGAAAGGCATAAATACTCTTTTTTTAACCCTCACTGAGGATATGTTTTTATTAATTTTTAGAGAGAGAGGAAGGGAGAGAGAGAAACATCAATGTGAAAGAGAAACCTGCAACCTAAGTATGTTCCCTGACCAAGAATCAATCCAGAAAACTTTTTGGCCTACAGGACTGTGAAAAGCATAAATACTTTTGAATGTACAAACAATACAACCAAATCAGCATTGCAACTATGTTGCCAAATGAAGAAAAACAGCTTTTAGTACACTGCCACAAGCCTAAATGGAGGAGAATCCATCACTCCGAGGCTATAAAAGGAAGCTGGGTAAGTACACAGACTGGATTCACAGCCTCACTCACACAGCCCAAGCCTGAAAGGAAAGATATTTCCCTCACAGAACTGCATTTGATGACCTATTTGAGGCATTTGTGTCCATCACTGGATTTTGGAAATGATAATAATGCCCCTTTAGATACAAGATTCACATTTTATATGTAATACAAGTTATAATTAATCACAGTACTTCAAAAGACATGCTGCACCATGTATCCCCCACCTGGAGTTTTATGAAAGAATTCTGCACTCTCCAGTAATCAAATCTTCCTTGGATAGCAATTTCAATATACTATTATGAGAAATACCATTTGGCACTCTCCCTCCCTCGCGCTGAGTCCCAGTGTCCCTCGGTGGCTGCGCTCCACTGTAGTTGTCATCCCCAAGCACTTACTCTGCACACGGAATGATAGCTGGCTGTCTCCACACTTCCACACAGGAAGTTCCTGGGTGTCATCGTCTGTCACATTCATGTCCCTCCTCCTCTCCCTCCTTTCCTTCCCTTCACTTTTCAACTCAAGACTGTTCCTAGACACAGTGGTTTTGAAATATTTCTTAAATGGATGGAAAACGCAATTCTTTTGAATGTATTTCAACATCTAAATGAACACATATGAAGCTTCACTCCTTTGATGCAATTAATTTTTTTCTTGTTTTGAACATCCTATTCCAATCTATGCTCCATTCTTGTCCCCAAATTCCCTCCAGCCTTTCTTTTCCCATTTTCACCATCTCATACATTTACTCAATTAGACACCTGCTCCATTTTAAAACGGAGACCCCAAGTCATTTTGCCGATGTGAGACCATTACTTCTATGGGAAGACTTCCCCACACCAACGCCCGCCCCCACCATCGCATCCTGCTACACACTCTCCACACCTGCCTTCCTCTTTGTTAACAACTTCTGTCTTTTTCTTTATATGGCGATGATTTGAATAATACTGCCTCTCCCACAAAGCCATAGGTCCCTCTGCAGTCAGAGAACATGTCTCTTTTGCTATCATCAAAACACACAAGACCTAATTCTACCTCAAAACACAGAAGACCTAATGCTCAGGGTAGGAAGGTGATTAAGTACAAAAAAAAAGTATTTAAAATTGATGAATCTTGGAACAGTTTACACTGATATACTTTGATTTTCTCAGTAGATATGAAAACCAGTTTGTCCTCTTGGTTAAATTTTTGTTTACCTTCGAGTTAATAAATCTCTTCCCTAGAATACCCTTCGTCCATGGCCTGCGAGACGAAGTGCTGTGGAAAAAACCTGCCCCACAAAGCTGATGATGAATATGCAAAGAACAGGAGAGGGAGACCTGCCACCCTCCTCCCACTGAGACAGGATTACAATGCAGAGGTCACCTGGCAAGGAAATCCACTGGTGGGAGAAATGTCATGACAGCAAGTTGGGAAATATCCCCTTCCTGGAAATAAAAATGACAGAAAAAGAGACTGGAAGGAGATGTGAAGTGTCACTGTCTTCCTGCTGGTTCTTCCTCATGCTATCTTAGGCAAGGAGAGCTTGGAAAGGAGAGGATTTTGGAATGAAAGAGGAATTAAAGGAGTTTTTATGTCAAATCATTACCCCGAAGATCACAGAGATGGCAATTAAGGAGCTTTTTGCAAGAAAGGGTTTTGATATCCAGTGAGAGTCAAGGTGAGATACGTAGTATAGACAACTTGACATCCTGTTTTCTTTTTTTTATAGTTGAAAGTATTACAGATGCCCCTTTCCCCGCCTTGACGCCCTTCGCTCGGCATCCGCCCTCGCCCCCGCCCAGGCCTTCTCCTCACTACTGTGTGTGCCCACAGGTCGCGCACACATGCACCTAAGTTCTCCGGTTACTCTCCCCGCCCCACACCCGCCTTCCCTCTGAAACTGGTCCGATTGCTCCATGGTTCTGTATCTATGGACCTATTTTGTTCACCAGTTTATTTTGTTCATTAGATTCCACATATGAGTGAGATCATGTGGTACTTGTCTTTCTCTGACTGCCTTATTTCGCTCAGCATGATCCTCTCCAGGTCCTTCCATGCTGTCCCAAAGGGTACGAGAAAGCTGTGGTACATTTACACCATGAAATACCATGCAGCTGGTTGGTTTTCTTTTGTGGTTATTATTATGGAAAAGTTTAAAAATATGCAAAAGAGAGCAAAGGACAGCACAGAGAACCACCGTATACTCACCACTCAGCTGAAACAATTATCGGCTCAAGGCTCACCTTGTTTTACCAAGAGAAATTTTGAAAAAATATTAAAGTCTGAGAAGCTATTTCTTTGTGGCACTTGGAATTCTATGTTATAAGAAGCAGGAAGGTTATTTCAATTGTGGCAAAAGACTATTGATGAAGACAAGTGTCTTCTGCCTATTACTGTTTCTCAAAAATTACCACTTCGTGTCTCATCTTTCTGTGGTTTTATAACATTAAAAGCTAAAATCTGAGTTTTTCAGTTGCCTATTCTAATATGCGCACATATTTTTAAAGAACATATGCTTTAGTCCTAAAAAAACGTTCTGTCCTTAGACTATGTGTATTTTTCAGCACTAGAATGTACTGAAATAGATTAAACATATTGGTTTTAGCTAAGATAATTTGGCTTTAATTAAAATTCATTAGTGTTTTATTATAGGCAATCATTGTCACTTGAGGACAATCAATCTTTGCAAAATACTTACCAATATTAGCATACTGTTTCTTCTCTTCTGTATCTGTAGATAGCTCATACATGTCTCCATAAGCACGAACAAACCGCCAAATAAACTCTATTTCATCTCTAAACTAAAAAGAAAAGATAGACCTGCATATTAGATTAACTCAGTAACTTCACTAGACTATAAATGTTTTCCACTGCAACATCCAAAAAATTAGGTAGGTAAGCTGGTATTTATACAGGGTGTCCCCCCAAAAAAGTATACACACTGAATAATTATTAATTTCAATGGGTTAAATCTGAAAAGAAAGAAACATCAATTGAGCTATCAGCTGTTAAGTGTGTATATATTTTTTGGAGGAGGGAGACACCCTATAGATGACTGACTCTATTTCTGTACATATAACATTTTAAAGATAAAATATTCATGGCTACAAAATGTGATTTAATATAGTGTTATATTTGAAACTTAAAACTAATTACTACTATAAGACACTCACTTCACACCTGCACAGAAGAGAGAACTGACAGGTGCCAGAATCCATACATTCTCCCTGGGTTGTTGTTCCCTCTTCTCATTGACTTTCTAAGTTACCTACTATCGATATAATGCTTCAGTGAGTATTTCAGATAATATCAGTAAGTTATTACAGATCACATATACTCAAAAGAGCAGACTTTTTTTTTAACCTAAATTACCTAAATATAATCCTGGAGATTTAAAAACTTTTAGACAATGTGTTTAGAGTTGCGAAATTCTCAAAGGTTAGATTTGTTCATGGGAAAGAAAGAGATTTTATTACTCCCTGAGAGACTGCAAACCCTTATTTTGTGGTGGTGGTGGTGGCGGTGATTGTGACAATGGCAGGGATGAGCTTTCCCAACTCAGCCCAACATTAAACAGTGAAAAATGACCACTGGTAGAAGTACATTAAAATGCTGATGGCTATTGTCCTGGCCGGGTGGCTCAGCCGGTCGGAGCATTGTCCTGTACACCAAAAAGGTTGTGGGTTCAATTTCCGTCAGGACACATATCTAGGCTGCGGGTTCCATCCCCGGTCGGGGCACTTACTGATAGATCGATGTTTCTTTCTATCTTCCTCTCTCTCCAAAATCAATAAACATATCATCAGTTGAGGATTAAAAAAAAAATACTGATGGCTGTTAGAACTCTGAGTCAGAAAACTTAAAATGTAGCTTTTCCTCCCCCCACCAAGAGTAGAGTGTGTCTTATTATTTATGTTACATTTATTAAATATAACAAATAAAAATCAAAGTAAATCTGTATATACATATCTCTGGTTCTCATTTTTATAACCTTAGAGCCTAATAAACGCTTATATATACTTTTTAAAATATATTTATTTATTTACTTATTTAATCCTCCCCTGAGGATATGTTTATTGATTTTAGAGAGGGGAAGAGAAAGAGAGAGGGATCAATGTGGGAGAGAAACAATGATTGGTTGGCTCCTGCACGTGCCAACTGGGGACCGAACCTGCAACCTGGGTATGAGCCCTGACCAGGAATCAAACCTGTGACCTTTCAGTGCACAGACAATGCTCCAACCAATTAATCCACACCGGCCAGGGCTCTTATATATATTATTTAATAAGTTTAGTCATATTATAGAAATATTTTGCATCAGTCATTTAGCTTTTGTAAACTGTGACACAATTGTTATGGTCATAATATGAAAAGGACAGTAGATTAAATCAAAAATTAAAAATACACAAACGTGTTATCAAATATCTCTTACCTTTTCTTTGTAGTCACAAAGTAGTTCAAAACTCTCCACCTTGCCAGATGCGTTCATACGTAAGTTATCTGCCTTCTGAAGAAGGGCATCTAACTTCAATTCCTCAACATGCGTGTTAAGTGGTTTATGAACTGGAAAATTCTGTTCTTCTGTGTCAGTACTAGCTGTAATGTATCTAAAATTGCAGAAATAATCATCAACTCTCCTGACAGTTACACTATAATAGCCAGAGCGATCCCTTTCAATTGCAAGTCAAATTGTTCCACTCCTATGCTGAAACCCTGCAATGGTGCCCCCTTCACTCAGAGAAAAAGTTCAAGTCCTCACAACAGTCTACAAGGCCCTATGAGATCTGTCTTCCAGCCTGCATCACTTCTCTGACTTTGGTTTCCTACTGCTCTTAGCACTCATTCAAGTCTACACTGGCCACCTAGCTGTTCCTTAAATACGCCAATCACACTCTGATCTCAGGACCTTCGCTTGCCCTTCCCTCGGAAGAGCATTAACTCATATCCTCCGGCCTTCACGTCTCAGCTCCCAATGTCATCTTCTCAACGTGGCCCATCCAGACCACTCTATTAATCCTGCAGCCTCCACACTCTAACCCACCCACACTCCCTCCACATCCAGTCTCCCTTATCATGCTTGGCATTTCTTTTCTGTAGTATCACCTTCTAATATACCATACAATTTACTATCTATTACTATTAGATTTGCTATTTTTTGTCAGTATCACCCCCAATAGATTGCATGCTCCTTGACAACAGGATTCTTTGTTTTATTAACCGATGTATCAAGTGCCTAGCACAGCATCTGACAGATAGGTGATATGCACTGAATATTGTTGAATGAATGACAGAGTTGTAGGCACTCAGCTGGCACTCAAATACACACACACTCACACTTATAGTTCAAGATGATGTTCTCTTAGCTTAGTTTTTTTAAAAATCCCGCTACCTTCACATTTCCTCTTTTTGGTGGCATACAATAAACAATTGGTTTCATTTATTCAAACCCTGTCCTGTTCTAAAAAGATTTTAAGAAAGTGTGTAAGGATATATAACATACAAGAAAACTAATTAGAAGTAGTAAAAAAAAGATAAAAACAAGGCCAAATGTGAGGTCAATAAAAAAAATACTTATACTTTAAACATCTACATCCTTGCTACAAGGAACACAGCTATCTGTATCTTCCAGCAGCTATGTAGTCACAGTCCCCAGCAACCGCTAACAAAGATACAAATGAATCAAGGTTTTGAGAGAAGTGCAACTATTTCCAATACAAAATAAATTTATTTCAAAATCCTTATAAAGAAGACACTATATGAAATTATACTCAACCTCTTCAACAACATTATTAATGGAAACTTCATTCTTCCTGTTGCCCAAATCAAAACACTTAGTATCATCCTTGATTCCCTTTTTCTCTCCTGAGTAATATCCAGTCTGTTAGAAATTCCTGTTGGTTCTATCTTCAAAATACATCCAGAATATAGCCACTGAAAACTACAACACATTGAAAAAAACTGAAACATCTGTGAAGACACAAATGGAAATCTCATGTCATGGGCGTGAAGACTTAATATTGTCAAAATGTCAATATTACCCAAAGTGATCTATAGATTCAGTGCAATCCTTCTCAAAGTCCCAACGATGTCTTTTGTAAAGACAGAAAAATCCATCCTAAAATTCATATGGAAGATCCTGAGTAGCCAAAACAATCTTGAAAAAGAAGAACAAAGTTGGTGGTCTCACAGTTCCTGATTTAAAAACTTATTATAAAGCTACAGTAATCAAAAGAGTATGTACTGGCATAAAGTCAGGCATATACATCAATGGAATAGAACAGAGAGCCCAGAAATAAAGCCTCACATGTATGTTCAAATGATTTTTGACAAGACTATTTAATGGAGGAAAAAACAGTCTCTTCAACAAATAGTGCTGGGGGTAAATTTTAAAATAAAAATGACATCTTAGCCCAATGACAAATATAGGGAACATTTTGTTATGACAAATAATCGAAAATAATGCAAATTCCTCTCCTTTAAAAAGATTAATTATATTAACTTAAGTATTTTTAATTGCCTATATACACTGTCCATTCATTAGTTACCCTGATAAATATATTTATACACTTTGCATAATATAATAGAAAATCTGAAAAATATTCACTCATATTAATAAAAATTTTAGAGATACTTTTTAGAGTAAAAATTTTATTTGAACTTTTTAAAATAAAAATTTTGGAAAAATCTGAAAAACATTAACTTTAAAAAATAAAAATAATATACACATTTTTATCTCTGATTTCAGGTCTTTGAATTCCCAGACACATGCATACATAAATGTATATTAAAAGTATTTAGTTAAAATACCTGGTCTCAATATAGTCTACATATTTCTATGACTTGTTTTAACTTATGATTTGATCCTTGTATTAGTAAAAACATCATCTGTCAATAGGATGTGTGGCACGAGAAAGATAGCTAACAAGGCTTATATGAATGAAAATTTCTGAATTTATAAATATAGTAATAATGTACAGGGTGGGACAAACATAGGCTTACAGTTGTGAGTGTGCAAAACAGTTTACTCCTGTATTATTTATTAATTATTGTATTATTTGCCATACAAACAACTGAAAACCTACTTTTGCCCCATCCTGTAGATTATATAGGAATACTATCTCTATTGATGAGACTAGGAGAAAAGATGTTAAACTCTCAAAAACTGTAATATGTTTAGAAGACCTATATATCAAAGCTTGATGTTTTCATACCACAAATGTATTACAACAGTCACTCAGAAATTTAGGACTAGTCAATCTATTAAGTACTAAATCTGTTAAAAGCCTGAAACACATGAATAATCTTTGACTTCCATATTCCAATAACGTTAATGAACTATTTTTCAGAAAACACAGAAATTAATATTAATTATAGACTACAACATAGAAATCTTTTCCAGAAAATGCGGTGAAGCTTAGTAAGGGAGGAGACTTCTGCGAGAACTGAGCAGTGATTTCTACAGACTATAGAGTATGCCTGGTAGGAAAACTGATTTGAGCTGTCCAAGAGAGGGAAAATCTGAGGTGACCTTATGTTAGGAATTTCAGTAGGTGAAGATATGTCTTCATCTTGAGATGAGTTAGCAATATTTTCATCCTCAAAGGAATCTGAGATAACTTCATTTAGAATTGGGATAGTAAGTCTCCTACTGTGTTTACGAAACGAAGACAATCCAACATTACGAGGAAAAGTAGTTATACTTTGAGAGGGATGCTGTTGAGAACCATAATGAAGGGAATCTTTCCTTGGTTGGCTTCTTTCTTGAGAATCCGTGCCAAATTCATTTTGTTGATAAGTACAGGAAATGAAAGGTGCAAGAGAAAGGTAGGTTGCAGTGCTTTGTCGATGGCTGTCTCTAGCACCAGGGTTCTGAATGCCTGAGGAATTAACTTTTGTTTCAAAATTCATAAAATGTTTAATGTTATACTCAGGAGAACAAGAGATGATATATTTTTCAGCATCAGCAATGCTTGAGTTTTTAGAAACTATTTCAATTTCATTTGGATCAAATATGTTCTCACTACTTGATTGAAGATCAAAAAACATAGTACTTTCATAACAGGAAATTATACTTAGTTTAGGGGTAGATAAATGTTTCCGGGATCTAGAACCAAAGTGTTCTGAGGCAGATTTGAAATCGACGGGGCTGCTTTTTACTTCAGAATCAAAGTTAGCTCTGCTTTGTTGACGCTGAAGGGAAGCAGCGCTTTTCGGAAATTTACCAAATAAAGAATATCCTTTTCCAGAGGGAGATAAGCAAGGAGGTGTATCCAATGCAGAAGATAACTTCTTATTTCCTTTAGATAAACTGACTCTCCGCACGGAAGGACAGCTTGTTTGAAGATCAGGATATACACCCGATTGTGTAACAGAAGAGGTTCCATGGCGCCAGGGGTCTGAAGTAACTTGATGTTCAGGATAACTTGGTCGGAAGTTCCCGTCCTCTTTGCAGCAGCTAGAGTGAGAAAAGTGTTAGGTGAGGAAAGAGTAGGGGGCAGGGGTGGGAACCTCCCAGCCTCCAGAAGACTATCCGCCACCTTATCAATATGGAAACAACAGGGAATGAGACAATTATGGCAGCTAAAGTAGATGGTCACAGGGAAGTACCCAAAAGAATGCCTCCGTCTAAAAGACTGTCTCTAATGACCTGCACGGACCTGCCCAGGCTATGAAACCTTGGGGGGATAAGCTGAGAGACTCAGGGAAGCAGGCAGAAAGAAAGATCAGGGGAAACACATGAGAGAGCACCGGAATGAAAGGATCCCCTGAAAGAAAAGGTAGAACTTTCCATTTAAAAAATAATAAGCCATAATATCTGTTTGAGACTATTAAACTACCCTAATGAAAGGAGTTAAGTAGAATAAATGTATACCCTGTTGACCAATGCATTTTAAAACATTAACAATAGATGAAAGAGAACCTCTCTGAAGAGTACTTAGATAAATGTCCAGATATTCCAGACATTCAGTTATAGTGGGAAACTAAAGGAAGCAGTAAAGCTTGGTTTATATATATCTATCAATGAGCTTTAGCACATGAAACATATAGAGAGGAGTTTTTTTTTTTTAAAGCTTACCTTATGCATTTTCCCATACTAAATCTAATCAAAAATAAATCTTTCTCTTCCTTTCTAAGCCATCATCTTTAAGCCATAAAATGCCCTGTGAAGGTGGAACAGGTCAGGAGACTGAATGTTTAAGCTGTGTGTGGGATTAACATGGCAGTAACACAGAATGTGATGACAGAAGACTCTAGAATCTAATGACATCAGTTGAGAATAAAACTGTCCTGTGGCTCACCTTTCTGAAAAGCTCCAATTCACGTGACTGTGGAATGTGTATTCTAACTTCGTTATGTTTAAGGAGTCATCCAACAAATCAAGGGATGAGAGAACAGCAAAATGAAGGCCCTGACATATATGATATCTGCATGACCATTTACCTGTGACTGTCTCTCGGTGGCTGCCCTTCAGACTCCTGGCCTACTAACTCATTCGTCTTTCACTTGAACACGCTTTACCCCAGGTTTTACACCATCCAGTAATATGGAAAAGTGACTGTTATAAAATTTGATCTGAAGATATATTGAGAAGGTAAAAAAGCCTATGCAGCAAATGCTACCACCCCCTGAATGAAACAAGCTGCATCTACCTTGGCAATAAAGTGTTCCATCTGATTGCATGGGCCACATGCATAAGACTATGGAGACCTGCTGAGCCTGTTTAAAACCCCTTGAAACAACTTTGTACCCATTTAAAGGCAAGGTTAACAGAACTGTTAGAAAACAAATATTGTCTTCTGCTTTTCCAAGCCAACTGGAAGCACTGTCCACATAATAGCTTTATATGTATAGCCACTTATGACATACAACACTCTCTGAATTATGTTTCCTTTTACTTCTCAATATCCTAAATACTCTACTACTATCTCCTGTTGTTTTTTTAAATATATCTTTATTGATTTCAGAGAGAGGAAGGGAGAGGGAGAGAGAGAGATAGAAACATCAATGATGAGAGAGTCATTGATCGGCTGCAGCCCACAACCCGGGCATGTGCCCTGACCGGGAATCGAACTCTGATCGCCTGGATCCTAGGTCGACGCTTAACCGCTGAGCCACGCCCGGCCGGGCTATCTCCTGTTTTTGTTTCATTCCTAACAACCTTCTTTGGGAAACCCTTGAACAAATTCCTTTCCAGGGGCCTAAAGCTCTCTAATTCTCACCATACAATTGTCAGTTTATAATTTGATTTTACCCTCTAAACAAGCTAATAAATTAATGTTACTGTTCCATGGATGCTGAAGACACACTATTCTTGGGTCAGAGACAGAGGACTTTATTACAGCATATCAAGCAGTGTGAGCACCAGCATGTTTGTGATGGCTCTCCTTGACCCCAGGTCCCACAGGGCAATACAGAGGTCCCAGAAACTCTTACATTCGCAGTGAGTTGTGTTACAAAGAAAGGGACACCGAGCTTAGGGAATCTACCACTTTTACAGCAAGGAGTGAGTAAATCTGCTAAACTTGTTGTTGTTCCCAGAGAAAAACATTCCCTCATTCCTCAAGGTTTCTCACCACAACCCTGAGAAATGGCCATGATAAGGGATGGTCATGTAGACCTTACACAAAAATTGACTCAAAATGGATCACAGGCCTAAATATAAAAAATACAAAACTATAAATCTCCTAGAAGATAACACTGGAGAAAACCTAGATAAATTTGGGTATGGCAATGACTTTTTCGATGCAACACCAAAGGCATGATTTATGAAAGAAATAATTGATAAGCTTCTGCTCTGCGAAAGACAATGTCAAGGGAATGAAAAGCCACAGATTGGGAGAAAATATTTTCAAAATACATATTTGAAAAGGGATTGTTATCCAAAACATACAAAAACTCTGAAAACTCAACAATGAGAAGATGAACAACCTGATTTAAAAATGGGCCAAGGACCTTAAGAGACACCTCACCAAGGAAGATATACAGATGGCGAATAAGCATATGAAAAGATGCTCCACATCATAAGTTATCAAAGAAATGCAAATTAAAACCATGAGATACACTACATGCCTATAAGAATGGTCAAAATCCAGAACCCTGACAACACCCAATGCTGGTGAGGATGTGGAGCAACAGGAATGCTCATTCATTGTTGGGAATGCAAAATGATTCACCTTAGAAGGAAGACAGCTACTCTGGAAGATAGTTTAGAGGTTTCTTACAAAACTAAACATACTCTTACCATACAATCCAGCAATCATGTCCTTGGTATTTACCCAAATGAGACGAAAACTTATGTCCACTTAAAAATCTGCAACTGTTTTCATAACTACCAACACTTGGAAGCAACCATGATGTCCTTCAGTAGGTGAATAAACTGTAGTATATCCAGACAATGGAATACTATTCAGCACTAAAAAGAAATGAACTGTTAAGCCATAAAAAGATATGGAAGAAACTTAAATGCATATTATGAAGTAAAGGAAGTCAATCTGAAAAGGCTACATATTGTATGATTCCAACTACATGACATTCTGAAAAAGGTGAAACGATGGAGACAGCCAAAGGATCAGTGGTTGCCAGGGTTTGAGGGGAAAGAGGGATGAATAGGCAGAACAGTGACAATACTCTGTATGATACCGTAATGATGGGCTCACGTCACTAAACATTTGTCCAAATCCATGGAATGTACACCACCAAAAGTAGACCAGAATGTGAACTATGGACTTTGAATGATTATGATGTGTCAATGCAGGTTCGTGGGAATGGACAATGGTAAGGTTATGCATGTGTGGGGTTAGAGAGTATATGGGAAACCTCTATGTTTCTCTCAACTTTTCTGTGAACCTAACACTGCTCCAAAAATGTGAAGTCTCAATTTTTTAAAAAATCAAGAGAAAAAAAAAAGAGTGCTCAAGGCCTTACATTCTTGGGATACCTAGCAAGATGTGTAAGAGAGTAAGAAGCCCAAGGAACCACGTCAATCTATTATTTCTCTGTGTTGTGAGATGGTTGTCTATTGTTCCTAAGTCACACTAAGATCCATCAGTGCCTTTTCTGAAAGGACATCTTCTGCATATTAAAACAACAGCTTATATAATGTATAGAAAGTTTCTATAAGAAATTTCTCTTTCCAAATTGGGCCAGCTTGTTGCTTAATAGTTCCACCTAAAGCCTCTAGAAGCAGCACTGGCCCACTGAGCTACCCCAAAGGAAACAATGAAGTTAGGACTAGATCTCAGGGCTGACAAATATTTCTGTCCAAAGGAGGTAATAAACAAGGTCAGATCACTCTACTCCCGCCCCACTGAAGTAAATCCATAATTATCAATTTTTTAGAAAAGTGTTTAGGTGTGTTTGGGGGATAGGGAAGAGATCCAGATCTGCCTAGACATTCGAAAGGAAAAGAATGTCACACGCTATACTATGGGTATTATGAAGTTCTTCAATTAATTTCTCTGGATAGAGTACTTATCTAAAGCTCTAGTCCTAAAATTGCCCCTCATTGGTTATTTTTAAGAAAAAGATAATTAGATTTAGCCCCAAAGAAATTATTAACCCCTCATAATGGCATGCACCTAAAACTTCTCCTTCAGCCCATTCCCAATTCTTATATTCTATCAGTTGCATGATCCCAGGCACCTTCTGTGTTCATTATGTCCCATGGTCACCTAAACCTCCTTTTTTTACCTCAGTTACTCTATTCTCACTGAGACCAATACTCTAGCATGATATATCTCACTATGTCCCATGAACGTCGTTTACCTGTAATCGTAACTGCCACTAATTAAAACTATAATTTCATAATCATATCTTAGCAGAAGTTTAGAAAATCCTCTAGAACAAAGCTTCTCAAACTCTAGGGTATATCAGAGTCATCAGGAGAGCATGTTAAAATGCAGATTCCTGGGCACTGCTCCCAGAGGTTTGATTTACTAGGTCTGCGGTGAATCTGGGAACGTGCATCTCCCAGACTAGATGGGATGTTGATGCTTCTGGTCCATAGACCACACTTTAAGTAGCTCTGTTCTAGAACATCTGGGTAATGAATAATCCCTGAGTAAAAGTTAGAAGGGCCTTTCAACACCTCACAGAAGCCTCCTCTGTGATATCAGGACTGAATACCCCTTCTCTGGGTACCTAGATAATAAGTCCCTAAGGAACCTAGATTATACCTGGGGAGGAGGGGGAAGGCAGAACCCTGAATGCGACTGAGTCTTTAACACAAAAAGACTAGCTCTAAACTAGAACTGACTGAGTTCATTTGGATTGACAAATTCAAGCTTTCCCACATTAACCAAAACAGAGCCAGTGAGCTGAATTCAGTTACGGAGTAATGTGCTTTTACACCTTTAGCTGATGTGAGTGTAGTGAATGTAAATCATTCAACCTATTACACTAATTACAGTTATTTGTACAAATGGCTTACTAGATATACCCAATTACACAAAGTAACAACAATGTTTATCACTAAATTAGCACCGAAGTTAACTTTTATTTTTTTTCATTATAACATTAAACTCTATCCACATACAGTTCACTGTTGGTAGTTTGCTGTTCAGATAGCATGGTTATCCTTATGTGACTTGAAAGGTAAAAAAGTACTTCTTGGGGATCACCAAACAATATAGGCTGTCTCTGGAATTTCCCTATCTACTATTATTAGTTCCTTTTGAAAGAAAGAAGGTTAATTAATTCACTGGACAGTAGTTACCAAATGCAGTCTATAGTCAATATAAAGAAACAGTACATGGTCAAGGGTTTGAACTGATCCAATAACAAACTACAAGTGGTTTTAAAAACAACAGAAACAAAAAAGTTCATATTTTAGGTGACCCAGTACAGATGTGTTCCAGCAGCATTGGATATGAGGAGCACAGCAGTGAAAACACGGGGTCCCTGCCCTAAAGAATTTCAGGCTACGTCATATTCACTAGCACGTCCTTCCTTACTTGGCTATTTTACTCCTCAAAAACACTACTCAGGCACAATTTCCATATTCATAAATTAGTTGTTTTTCCCCGTAAGAGAATATTATTTATGTTCTTGGTTTCAGAATTCAGTGAATTACCCCATGTGAGGATGAAAGTGAATCACGTGTACATTCTCGAACCTTTTTAGGTCTACACTGCCCAATCCAGTACCCACTAGTCCCATGTGGCTATTTAAATTTAATTACAATTAAATAAAATTTAAAAATCAGCTCCTCGGTTATACTAGCTATACTTCGAGTGGCTGCTACCTTGCACAGCACACATTTAGAACATTTCCATCATCACAAAGGTTCTACTGGGCTGCCCTTACTGGACCATTTCATATAAGGGGTTGCACAGTGGCCACACAGAAAAATAGATGACAAATTTTGGCAAACAAGTGCTGTCTTTTTCAATACTCACATGATGCCACCTGGCCCTAGTAAAGTACTTATGTCCTTTTTGTCCATGTGGTCTATACTAGCTTAAATACTGACCTCTATGGAATATGGTTCTAATTGTAATTAAGCCAAAATAATCGCTTTTTTGTGTCTTGTTTGTAGCAGAATACAGGAGTGGGCAAGATAGGTTTATAGTTGTGAGTGCGTGAAGCACAGTTTATGCCTGTATTATTTATGCTTTTTAACCTGCTTCTGCCCACCCCTGTGTGAGTGGGAATGTATAAAAGTACCGAAATAACAGCAACAATACAACAGGCGATTGAACACGGG